AATTGATTCAGTTCGCAAAAGTTATCATAGGTGACACCGTTCGAAGCACAAACGGTCATATTCACGACAGAACCGATATTCTCGAATGGACACTTGTCAACGGGACATTTACAATCGGGCATGCCACTTCGGTCCATTACACATTTTGCACCATGATGACACTGCGTCTCAGAACAACTCCTGGTTTTTGGATACGGTTTGAATTTGGTTTAATTCGATTGGAATAATTTGTTTGATTGATTTTGGAATTAATGATTGTAAATATTTAATGATTTTTTGTAGCTTAATTAATCAGTTGTGACTGAAATATTGCAGCTTTTTAAGGGAAAATTGTTTGACTTGAAGATAGTTGAGATCAAATTTTGATATGAACTTCGCAGCAAAGTTCAAGAGAAATTTGGCCTACTTAGGAGCCTTGTATTCATCTTTTTTGACACAACCGATAGCAGTGATAATCGAATCAGCATTGCACGTGTCACATTTCAATCCGAATGATCCTTTTTTACACTGACATCGCCCGGTCGACTGCTCACAATCCAAACGCGATGATCCAAACACTGAGCAACCGCAAGCTGAATTTTAGTGTCATTACTATAGATTCACGATTGTGTTTACTATATATTCATTCGATTCATAGCTTAATATTCATTATTGTTTATAATTGTAAGCGTTTTATTGTTGTATCAAAAATACTACTGGCTCACAAGACTATTGGTTGTTTTCAGGAGTTATTTTGAATTGCTAGCAAGATCATTGAAATCATGCATGTTCATTCGATCAATCAGGGTGCATTTTTGGGCTTATTTCGAACTGTACGCCTCAGAAATTATGGAGTCATATGGGACAGAGTAGCCCTATACCCCCTCTATCAAAGTCAAATCAGTATTTGAGATTAGACATTCATGCAGATGGATATTGATATCGCTAGGAATTACTGAGGACAGGTGCTTGAAGAGAAGGATTTCTTGGAAGAAAGAATGTGTGTATAGCAAGATATTTGCGATATTAGTGATAACAGAGAATCACAAACTCGTAATCTGTTCTAATTGTTGCTTAAATCAATGAATAAGATATTCCGAGTTATGATACTAAATCCAATTAGTATTGTATATCTCCTAGTTGGTCAAATGAATTGACGACGACAACGTGAGTGCTAAGAAATTGGATCAGATTGGTAAAGGG